CGAAATTAAACTGCTTGTTAAAAGGCTAACATGATTATAGATCCCACAAGATAATCTTTTACACAAAAACATTAATTACTATCTCTACTGGGATTTAAATTCACAATACTCTTTGTCTGAGAAGACAACCTGATTATCATACTATGATGTGTCTTACAAGGTAATATCAATGAGGTGCACATTGATTTTCTTTAGATGGCTGGCATTTCCCCATCCAGGAACATGGCCTTCTTAGTATAACTGCTTCTACATAAGGAAGTATCCAACTGGGCTTAGAGGTTAAACTTCATAAGCTAAGTGGGAGGAATTTCTATCAAAAACCTAAATACACTAAGGTCTGCCTGTGTAGTTAGCTAATTCTTTAACAAATTATATGATTAGTGATTAGGAGCAGGTATGGTGCAGTGCACAGCTAAGCCCCACCTCCATGAGAAAACTGCAGCCAGTAACCAAAAACAGACAAACTTCCCTGCACTTTAAATCTTTAAATTGTATGGAACTTTTAAAAATTTATGAAAAGATGATCAAACAAGTTGACTGATATACTGTAAATGCCTCTTGCCCCTGTGTGGCGTGTTGCATTATAACAAATCTGTGTTGTGTTTAATTTCCATTTTTATGCTTAGTCCTTTTTTTTATTTTTATTTACTGGCCTTATTGCTTTTCGAAATTCTGAGAACTTTAGACATCCGTTTGATGCAGATAGTCAAAATGAGACTGCACAGTCAGGGAAGAGAGTGACATATTTAGCCACTTCTATAAAATGCAAGTGGAAGTAAGATCTTTGAGCCAAGGTGGAACTACCAAATGTACAGCACTTTTAGTAGAACACTTTATTGTGCAACGGGTTCAATGCACCAAACTATCAGCAGATCTAACAGGAAGTATTAAAATGGTCTAAAAAAAACACGTGTTTAAATGAATCTTATACATTGAGATTAGTCATATCTTGACACCAGCACTCAGTGAGCAGTACCCCAAACAGGGAAGCATCTTATCTCTCATGAGCTGCGGCCCATTTAAAAAGCAGTGAGTACTGCTCGCTGTGTAAACGATGCCAATTGCATCGCCCCATGAAAGCAGGATGTGGTTGGGTAAGCACATTACTTTCAAAATAACTCTACAAGTCTTCTGTCTCTCCTTTTATAGTAAAGGCATGACCTATTGCATCATGTGACAGAATCAACAACCAAGTAAAAGTAAATGTTGCATTTTTTATTCTTGGAACAATGATTACAAAAATTCAGCAAAACCACTCAATTTTAATTGTCTTTGTTGTGTCCTCAAACAGCAAAATAAAATGCAATGCTCAGTCAAAGATTTTATCCCTGACAAGTAAAAACAGTACATTCACCTTCTGTTGTTTAAATGGAAAAGTTCAGAATTTTGACTGCAACAAAAACTGCAAGAAACATCCCAAACCATAATACAAAGAGGACCAAGGAGTTTTCATACTTCCTGTACCAGCAGCTCATTACTTTTTGTCAACAGTTTTCCACTGTACTCATAAGTCACTGCATACTCAGATCAAACTTGGGCTACATGCAAAGGGAGACCTCTTGTGACAGAAAAGAGGAAACATAAAATGAAATACCATAAAGACAATGAATGAGAGCAGATTAAAGATTATTACTTTTTATTATAAATAGAACAAAAACTACATAGATCTGTTTTTGTTGACCATGTGAAATTTTCTTTAAATAAAATTATGCCTTACAATATTTTGTGATGTCATTTTATATTTATCCTTGTCAAAGTGAAGATTAAGTAAAACACAAGTAGGGCACATATTAAATTAATTCAATTCAATTCAGTTTATTTATATAGCGCCAATTCACAACACAAGTCATCTCAAGGCACTTTACAGTTCACCAGATCATACAGTCAGTTTGATTCAAAGTTTTCTATTTAAGGAAAACCAGTTGATTGCATTGACTCATTGACTCAAATGCAATCCCTTTTTAGGTTACCGGTAATTTATTTTTTAAATTAACCTTCATATCAATGTAAAGACTACTTTGTTTTGTAAATGTAGAGAGGTTAATACAGGCTTTTCAACAAGAATTGTGTGCTATATTTTTAATGTTAAATGATATACAATGTATCATTAAATTCTGTCTCATATGGCACGAAAAGGAGGAAAATGGTATTCTATAAGATTCCTTTAAACCTAATCTATTCAAAATTTGAATTTTAAAGGAGAAGTCCAGTCATATTCAGGAATCAAGCTTCTGAAAGTACTTTAAATATTAAATTATTACATATTGTTCAATAAATGATAAGTGTTTTTAATTAAGAGTATTTTTTTATTTGCATGTGCTTTACTGGAGGCACCCATTTTTGTCAAAGAACACTACTAGCATTTACTGGTTTGTGACGTCACAGTGCAGTATTGGCTGTTGAGCAAGTCCAAATTCTGTATCTGGTGTTTGTCACAACACACTATCATCCAAGTCATCTTAAAAACATTCTTCTTTTAACTGTTGGCTACATATTACGGTTTTTCTCTGGTCAGAAGTTCAATTGCAAATCCTCCCTCTTTAAGTTGGTAATCCAACAACGAACCTGTGGTGGAGCATGAATCGGAAAGGAGAAACAACACATTTTTATTTTACTTTTACCCGATGTATTACAAGATCCAACTGCCATGCACATGGACACTGTCAGTTTAACTATAGCTCTTGCGAATTTCAATAGTGAGGTCCTCTCGAAATCTTAAATAATTGTTGCTGATTGCAGGCGTGTCTAGTTACGGAAGAGGATTGGAACCACTGAAAAAACAAATAATTACCTGATTTTTTTATTTTATTTCAGTATAATATGAGAAAAAGTCAGAATTCTTACTTTAATTGCAGACTTCTGACTTTTTTTCTCCCAATTCTGACTTTAATCTCAGAATTCTGACTTTTTTCTCAAAAGTCTGACTTTAATCTCTGAATTCTGACTGAATTCTGACAGCTAACAAATATGTTAGCCACAAGCCGTAGCCATAGCTCTCTTGTTTTAATCACCTTTTGCTCTTCCATTAATGAAGTAGCATCACCGGGTACCCCTCGGGCAAGTAAAAAGTCGCCTAAACCCGTCATTTTCCACCAATGTGTTACTGGCCCTCTCAAACAACTCACAGCTGAGTGCTCCCACATCTCTTCCTTCATGGTGCCAGTTTACATTAGGATCTGAAATTCTGAGATTAAATTCAGAATTCTGAGAAAAAAGTTAGAATTCTGAGAAAAAAGTCAAAATTCTGACTTTTTTCCCATATAAAACTGAAACAATATTTAAAAAATCAGTTAACTTTTTTTTTATTTCTTCAGTGGCCCTAATCCTCTTCTGTATCTACTAGTAGCCATTGTTTTTGCCTGACTTTCCCATTGAGAACAGCCTTCAGCTTACCACATCCGCAAGATGTCAGGAGTGAGTTGTTACTATATTTGGGCAAAAATGGCCGAACCTGGAAAATGGCCGAAAATTATTGTTTGTATTTTTTTACTGAATAACACTAAATTCATCAAATCACCACAAACTAATTAGTTTTAGGTATAGATAGGGATCCATTGATTATTTCTTGCTGACTGGACTGACTGGATTGAAAACTGTGCAATATGCTTGGAACTATCTTTTGTTGCAAACATATATGTATATTTGAAACATATAGTGGAAGATTAGGAAAAAAATGCTTTATTTTGAAAACATGTCCTCCCTTTAATCCCCCTAAATGTACTTCCAGATTTGGCTCTACGCAGTGCCATAATAACTTTCCTCTTTATAAAGTCTTTATAAATTTCCTCTGTTCTTTTTTTCCAGACTAATTTGTAGATGGGGCATCAAAACAATTAGCTCATCAGACAACAATGCAGTTTATAAAAGTAAAAAAGGTAAAAGCCTACAGCATTATTTTAACAGAATTTTGAGCTAGATGTTTACTACACTACTGCAGAATCCTAATTTTGGATTTGACTCTCTTTTATGCTTTAGATCAGTGCTCCAATGTGTTATTTATAAACTTCTGTGTTCTTTTTCTGAAATACTTTGTTATTTTTAAATCAGGTTTTAAAAAAACTTCCCATCCAAATAGTTGCAGTTTGGTCTTGTCAGTATGCAAAACGTTTCCCCAAAATCTAAGCATTATTAAAATGTTTTTTTATTGTTTTTTTTTTTTATGTATTCTTTTGATAAAAGAGGGAAGTGGCTCTCTCCCGTCACCAATAGAGCTTCTTCTGAATGATGGTGTGAAAAGTTTTGAAAAACTACTACACCTACTTAGTTTTTTTTTTAAACCTTTCAAAAAGACACTAGGCATCTATTAACTTAAAGTAATTATAACCCACAGTAGCAAAAATGTGCAGTTTTGTATGTACGGGGAATTCCTTTTAGAATCCTCAAATAAAAGACATTATGGAGATGCTCCAGAAGCATAGCAGTTTAAACAAAAATTGTGATGTAAATGTAAATTGTGAGCTGCATTCTTCAGACAGGAACTAAAAGAAACAGCAACAACATCAAAAACAGTTAATCCTGCAGGTCTCAGGGAATCACGAGCCGCTCATTTCTTGAGTGAACAAACAAGTAGGACCAGATGTTGCTGTTTAGAAGGGTGCAAACTCATTAAACACTTTTATGGCTCAACTTTGAATAAACATGTGAGACGACAAAGCTTTATGTGTTACCTCTGAGCAAGACATCAGAGAGTGCTGCAGGGGCTAACAGCACGCCTCTGCATGTTCCTCTGTTTTCTACAAATAGAGGATGCAACTTTCTATGTGCAATTTAAAAAACACAGTGAAGATAAAATATTGGGCAATGCATGTATATAATATTAGCTCTCACTGACTATATGTAGGTTTATATGTGCAAAACTAGATTATTTTTTCTTCCTGTTCCTGCAAGAGCTTCATGCAGACTGGTAATAGATTGGAGTGGTGAAAACCCAAACAAAATCCCCACCCCCACAACTACCTCTGAAAGTCGCCCCCTATCTGTCTCAGAGCAGTATCATTTCACAGAGTCAACCCACCTCCAGAACTTGAGAGGGGATGAAGGGGAAGCAAATTATGGGATACTAAGAGTAGCTGGGGCACAGAAAAAGGACTAAATTACCTTTTTTTTTAAACTCTAGAAAAAGAAGACACGTTTTTGCTCTTAAAATACATGAAATCCAGCGTGCCTTTAGTGGAATCCTCAAATGAGACGTGTTCCTGTTTGAGGAAATTAATAAGAGTGTATCTGAGGCAGGAATAGTTAGAGCTCCCAGGCTGAAGTCAGTCCCTTGGAGGAAACAAAGCAACACGGCTGCTAAGATTTTGAGACATGGAGCCATTTACTTTGATTGGAGCATTTTTCATCCTGCAGAGCATCTCCTTAAGCAGCACAGAAGCTTATAGGTAAGTCAGACTAACAAAACAAAGGGTGTTTGCTGTGTTTCATCTCTAAGATTTCTCACTGATCTAAGCTTTATATGTCCACTTGAAAATAAGTTTCATTAAAAAAAACTGCTTTTACATCTATTATGTATTGAGAATTGTAAAAATGATATTTCTGAAGATTACATTTTTCAAGAGCAGTTTAAAAAGCTGTCCAAGCAAAGAGATGATGAGTGTGTGTCTTCTAAATGTGGAACAGCAACTGTTAATAACCGAAGGGCACCTGTTCCACCGAGGAGCCCCTTCTCCCTGGGCTATTCCTGTTGATTTCTTGTCCAGTCTCAGATTCCTCCTGTCCCACAGGAAGTCTAAGCAGCTTTTTTTCCCCGCACATCTAAAAATCTAAGATATTAACATTTGGTTTTAGGCTTCAAAGTTAAGATCATGAAGATGGAAGGTTCTTCCATTAGATTTAGCTTTCTTTCCTTTTGCTCTATAATTTAATTTGTTGCATATTCAAATTTACATTTATTTAAACTATAATACTTTTCTGCAACATAATGTTTTCTTAAGGTGAGTTATTTTAAGAGTAGTGCTGGCCCCTTCCCAGCAACTGAGAATAGTTTAAGATTAGAAAAGCATTTGACTGTGAAACTCACACAAAGATAAAAGTAAAAAATTAAATTGTGTGGGTTTTAATATTCATTGTGGGAAGTGTCTAATTTGTGCTTTTCTCCATCCAATCAGCTGACTGTTTAGCAACAGGAAGCCTGACTTTTGTCTTTGAATGAGCTAAAGTGTAGACACTTTGTATTAGTGGTTTATTTTTGTGCATTAATGAAGAACAGATGCTGCAGAACCTGCTCTGATGAGGTTCACATCTAAAAAAGGAGAGTTTTCATAAAACTTTCCTCCCTATTTTATAGTGGCTCTTTAAGTAATGATGTTTGATTTTGATAGTTTTAATTTATAAACAAAGCAGGCCATCTATAGTATTAAATTCAAATTATTCATTTAACTGCTTTTTCCACAAAGGCACCATCGACAAGTCCCTAATGGAAGCCAGCCAGGCGTTTGTCGCTATGGAAGTAGACTGGAGTGCTGCTATGGCTGGAAGAAAAACAATAAAGGGCAGTGTGAGGGTAGGAATTCTACATGTCTCAATGGAGAAAAATATTTTACAGATATTTTAGAAATGCATTAATTTTCCTTATTGTTTTGTTGTTGTTGTTTTTTTTTTTTACATCAAGCTGTAATCAAAAACTGTCAATTTTACCGGGATTATATGTGATAGATCCTGACAGGAAGTAATGCATAACTGCAAACTCAGAGCAAAATGTTTCCTAGTTTTTATTATATTTGTTTTCAAGTCTAGTGTAGTCTATTGTTTTGCAACCTTTCACCTTTCGCTTCCAGGAGTGCCTTATATTTATGACATGTGACCCCTACTAAAAAAAACATCACCATAGTGCTATAATAACCATGTTTTACCAAAAAGATACTCTCTTACATTCCTTGTGGCAAGCTACAAACAGTTTCATGTTTATTTCTTTCAATCAGAGCAAATTTATCTTTGTCTCTCCTTAAAAAAGACCATATTTGCAGAACTGGTGGGTTTCCTTTTTTTTCCCAAATGATCAGAGGATCTTTGCAGCTTCTGCAGAGTTATACTTGCTTTTATGAACAGCTGTTTGGTATAATTCTCCATGGCAATTCATTTTAGGTTGATGACAATGTCATGGTAAGTTTGGGCTTCAGACATATCTACATTAACTTCATAATGCGTACACTTCCACTGTTACCTAACTTCTGAGAATAATTTGTTACAACGAATCTTAGTAATGTCAGAGTAAAGGGGCATGAATGCAGATGCAAGATACACTCTGTATTCATGAATAGTTTAATGGTTGGTCTATCACTCAAAAAACATTGAAGTTTATTTTTGTAACAGGAAAAAATAATGAATGAATGAAGGGATTTAAATACTTTAACAAGATATTGTAAAAATACTGCCTCTGATTCTCCCCAACGCTGTTCTTTCTATCAACATTCCTCGAACCCCAAAATCTGAAAGGAAATGCCTTTATAATAGAAGTGTGTGGTTTTGTGTGCAGTCCACCACTAATATGTCTGGTGTATTGTGGTATTTTTCTCCATTTCAAATGCTCTACCAGCTCAGTGCGAGCACGGCTGCAAGCATGGAGAGTGTGTTGGCCCAAACAAATGCAAGTGTTTTCCTGGATACACCGGGAAAATGTGTAATCAAGGTGGGTATTCCACATCGACGAAGAAGGACATGAGGGGGGATTAGAATCATTTAACTTCTAGTTGTTCATTTGTTTTCACTCTGTTTCAGCAAAGTTGGTTAATTTTATCATTTTGGGACTTTCTTAGATTTGAATGAGTGTGGCCTAAAACCCCGTCCCTGTGAGCATCGTTGCATGAACACTCACGGTAGTTACAAGTGCTACTGTCTGAACGGATACATGCTAATGTCCGATGGATCATGTGCCAGTGAGTTCAACTATTGTTACTTTAACTCTAAAGTAGAAGTCAGAATGTAAACCTGAGTTTCTTAATCATATTTATGCACATAGATTCCAGGACGTGCTCTCTTGCCCATTGTCAGTATGGATGTGAGGAAGTAGAGGGGGAGATCCGTTGCCTCTGTCCATCTGCAGGCCTTCAACTGGGCCAAGATGAGAGAACTTGTGTAGGTGAGCAGCCATGCTAAGGATAACGCACTGTCTTTTTGAACTAAAAAGGAATATTAAAAAAGAATGACTTTACCTTCTGATCTCTCATAGCTAAATTCTTCTTTTCATGGATGAAGTGAATTTTAATGTCAGGCTTATAAATCAAACACAGTTCAGTTTTATCTGCTCTATAAAATATGTTTGAGTTGTGACTAAGCCAGACCACTCACAGACCACAGAGTTTTAAACAGAACTATTCCTTCACCAATTTTCATGATTTCCTCTGATCGAACACTTTCAACAGTAACTGACAACAAAAGCAGGCTTTTACTTTGAAAGTATGCCAAAAGCCAATGGAGCCCAGATGTGCTGAATAGAACATACTGACCCTGTATTCTACACTGAATTTTAGCTTTGGTTGCATGAAGACTTTCTCACTAGCATCAACAAACCCAAATTTTTGGTTGTTAACCACAGATTGAGGCATTTAAAATAATGGACTCAAGCACAACTAAATAAAGATTAAAAGTAGGTGAATTATTTACATATAGGTGAGGAGATTAAAAACATACAGTAGAACAAACAGAAGTGGAAATGTACCATGCAGAATCCCAGAAAGTACCTAGCTGGCCAAAAGAGTAACATATAATGGCTTAAAAAAAACAGCAAATTGGGATTCAGAAAGTCCGACAGACATAGGGGTGGCTTTAGTTCTTCCCAGTATTAAAAATTCATAACTATAGAAATATTTAGGAAATGTCATTTATGACTACTAGTGTTGTGCCAGTTCACCCTTAATAAAAGATAGTCCATTAGTTTTTAATCCAGTTAATACGCTCACAGACTTTCCTGACTGGATGCCACCCTGGGCAGTAACAACTTCTATCAAACATTGGTCATAACTGAAAACACTATTGTAGATTGTTGCTTTGCAGATACTTAGGATTTTTGAACACGAACAAACACTTCCCCAAAAGTCTTCGACTCTGTCAGTTAACATACTGTAATATTTTCACAAAATCTTGAGGATTAGCAAGATGTGTGTGTTTTATTTTAGTATGAATATAAATAGGCATTTTTGTTCTTGTTGATCAGCAATAGTTTACCTTGATATGTGCCTCAGTTGCTTCTCTTTCTCCAAGTCCTTTCTAATATTTCAATCATTAACATGACCTTAAATATGACAGATGAGGCCTGCAGTGCTTTGGGATACTGTTCAGGTTTTCATGTTCCCCTAGATGATTTGTCACTTTCTGGATTTTTTTCCGTTCAAAAACCTTTTAATCAGGTTTGTAGTGGATGAATGTTGAAATTTAGCCAACTTCATGTTGTCAGACAGGTTCTATGTTAAGCAGTGGCTTCATTTTACCAGGCGGTTAGTGTGAGGATTCGAGTTTTTGATAAACTTTTTCCCTTAGTGAATAAAATCCGCAATTAAAAACAGCATTTTGTACTTACACAGTTTTTATTTGACTTATTTAAATGTAATGATTGTGAAAATATTTTTTACAAGTTAGCTACAAATGAGGAATTAACAAAAATAATCCGTTATTAATTTTAGTATTCAGTTCTTAACTTTCAAAAAAAAAAAAGATGTTAATAAATATTTCCCTATATGAAAAATATAATGTCATATTTAACTTCTCTTCAGATATTGATGAATGCATAACTGGGAAGACTGTCTGCCCATACAATAGACAATGTGTGAACACCTTTGGCAGCTACTACTGCAAGTGCCAGGATGGCTTTGATCTAAAATATGTCAACGGCAAATATGACTGTGTAGGTGAGTCTACTTGGTATTTTGAAGGCAAATTGATTAGTTGCAGTGATACCTTTGAAAGTACAAGCAGTTTTTTTTATTGTAGATCTCGACGAGTGTGAAGATGAAACCCACAAGTGCAGCCAGCATGCTGTTTGCCTAAACACTCCTGGATCCTACAGGTGTCGGTGCAAACCTGGCTTCAGAGGCAATGGTTTTGAGTGTTCGGGTGAGGCAATTTTTGGAAACAATTACTTTATAAGTAGATTTTAAGTGGATGAAAGTAAGAAGCAAAAAAGTGGAGACTTTTCCAGATGAATTTAATGAGTCATAATGATCAAAAGTAATTTTACAGCTGCATATTTCATGTGGACCTTTTAACCATCACTGAGTAGCAGCACAGCCAAGGTTTGTTTCCTCTTTTTGGGCTGCAGTCTACATTTAAAGACTAAAACAGACCCAGATTGAAAACACACATGTGCAAATAGGAACCTGAATTGGCACTAGCTCATTGTGGGGAAGATGAAAAGGAAAGACAGAGCTTTGCTCTTTGAAAAAAAGAGTCTCGGACAGACGTATATGCACAAATGAAGATGCCTTTATTTTTTATAGCCAAGCCATTTTATCAGAGGTCATGGGATGGAGACAAAGGCAGTGCAGATGATTCCCTTAATGGTGAGATTATGTGAAATATAGCTTCAGCTGTTCTCTCCTGCCTTGCCTTTTTGTTATGTTGGCTTACCTCATCTTTGTCTCTCTCACAGCTGGAAATGTGTAGCACTTAGTAGTCACTGCTTGAAAGGTCCAGCATGACAGAGCTTGTTTGATAAATCGCTACTGCGTTTAAAGCACTAATTTAAATTTTGTGTTCATTAATTTATTTTGTAGCCTCTTTTTATTTGCATGCAGGCTTTGCATTCTTCATTTTGTTCTGCTTTTCTAGAAAAGTGACTTTTTTTATGACTAATATCCAAGGAAGCAGTAAACAACTACAGCAGGTGGAGAACACATATATACAACAAACAGGTCCTGGTAAAATACTAATCCTTAACTGCAGATCCATGTGTCTCTACTGGTTCGTTTCCTGTGTGCAGCCATCCCAGACTCCCAGGTGAGGCCAGAGATTCTGGGAGGTACGTTTAGCAACAAGGACATAAAAAACACCATACCAGAAGCAGTCGTGACGCCATCCCCTAAGGTCCTCCATCAACCTTTCGACTACGACGGAGAAATCTATGTTGGGACCCCAAAGGAGGAAGCACAAGAGGAATTTCCTGAGGAGAAGGGAGAGGAGGAAGGGGAAGAAAACCAGCTCAATCCAAGAGGAGATGTTTTCAGTGAGTACCTTTCTCTTGGTTGTCCTATAATAAATCAGAGTGACCGGCAGCTGAAATAAACATCAGGTCAAAATGAGTAAAGAAGCAGCAAAGGGGATTGAGGCCTCAGATGACACCTTTCATATCAAGACAGTCCTATTGCCATTTTGCTATGATATTATATAGTGCCTGGTGGCCCTCAGCTGAAATCTTTGCCATGGTCATTTCTGCATTGAGGTTGTATCGTTGGTGTATCCCACCTTTTACAGTCCAGCCCCAAGTACTCCAGCAAGAATTAAGCTGACATAAATGATTAATGCACCAATTTAAAGTGGTCCATAATTGTAAGGTGGAGTGGAAATTATATGTTGTTTTACAAATATAAACATGAGACTTTTTGTCATCTACTTGGATTTAGCAAACACAAGTCAATGCTTTCTCTCCCAGGTGTCCCTCTTTACAATTGCATCTTCAAATATTTTGGAATATCCTGCTACTAGCTTTATTCACATAGACACAAAAGTTGGACCCATTGTGCTGTATAAACTTGGCTTTATTTTGGGGAAAAATAATCTTTCAAAATAATTCAGACCCAAGTATCACAGAAGGCACTGTGAGGATTATTAGGCGACTACATGAAGGTTATTGATAACCGGCGTTTACTGTGGGGTTTAAACACCTTTGCAAAGTTCTTCATACGATTTTACACTTAAATGTAGCCTGTTTGCAATAAGTTTTGCATTACGCTTTGCAAAATAGATACATTTATAAAAAAAAAAAATAACAGGATAAGAAACAAAGTAGAGATGAAAACAGGAACCTGCTGTTTATCAGATGCACAGAGCAAAGAGTTCATGTTGTAGAATTTATTTTTCTCAGAAACCCGATAACTGAGGTTCCCTTTCCCCGCCTTCTTTAATCTTTGTTAAAACACAAGTCTCAGCGTTAAACCTAAGATAGCAAGAGAAGACAAGCCCCAAGACATCCATCACCTCCGGGGAGGAATTTTTTACTCTTTTGGCATGTGCAAGCCCAAGGATACAACTCATCCTGTTCATGCTTTTTAGCAGTGGGGGGCAGGAAGGAGAAAGGAGGTTGCAAAGCCCCTCAAGCCTTTTATTATGTTTCCTTCAAACAGCTGTTGTGCTAAAAGACTTGCCTCCCCAGTCATCAGCACTGGAGGCTTTTCTAACACCAGCCCGACTCTGAGCCAAGGAGGTTCAATAACCCCTGTTGTCACTTGTTTGAGTCTCAAAGGACTACTTTTCATGGGGGTCTGGTATGCTGCAGCAGCTTTAAAATTCTTGGGGTGGGGGTTGAAGCTACATTTCAAGACAGTATAGTAAAAGGATGGCAGGTCTGTACCCCTTCTACCAATAATATCATCAAAACGTTGATTTGAGAAACATCTGCCTGGGTAACTTTACTTATTTTGATGAATGATTTGAATAAATCTTGTTTTGAGAGCTGCTTCGTCTTCTGTTCACAACTTCTCTACAATGCAGTTTTTGATTACATGATTTTTATTAGCCACCAAATAGGTTATAGCAAAAAGTTGCACATACAACTGAAAGAAAGAAAGAGCTCATTTTAAAACATGCCCGACTCCACATGGGCTCAATGTTTAATCTCCCTATTCTCAGCAACAAGCAGGGGGCATTTATAGTCATCAACTGTCCATTCGCTGCACAAGAATAAAAGCAAAAGCTCAAGACTAGGAAGCTTTAATGGCCACTTGAAAATGTAAACATGGTTCATGAGCAAAAAAATTATTGGTGCAGTGCTAAAAGGCCAGTTAATGCAAATAAAATACTATTCAACCAAATAGAATTAACCTTTTCATAACACAAGGACCCAAATTTGGGTCCTCAGCACTCGCCCCAAGATGGTTTTTAGACCTGTAACATATTCTCTGGGGTCTTGCCTTTATTTTGATACCAAAACAATTAAAATAAACTCTGTAGTTCTTGAGATATATTCATTTCATTTTGGGCATGTTATTTTCAAGCATATTTCTCGAAAACAGGCCTAGTGTCCAAGAGGTTAAAAAGATAAAAACCTGTTGAGGGTTTGTCTCCATCCCATGACCTCTGAGGAAAAAAGACAGTAAAAAAAAAAAAAAAACACTAGACTGCAGTTATAAGCATGGAAGGAGCAATATGGGGGACCAGGGGTGGCCCGTGATGGCCACCCTTATTGGGTGATTTTGTCTGAACATAATTCCCAAGCAGTTCCTCTCTAAAACAGAAGGTGGCAGCAGCAATACTCTTATGTTCAATGTTCTAACAAATTTACAATTTTAATTGTTCGTATATTATAAATGAACTAACAACAAAAAAATACAGTAGTTAATTACTCGTCATCAATAAACTAACATTAAAGATGATACACACAGGGGTAATGGTCTTTTCAGAACCAATTTTTGAGTTTTTTGGCAAAAAAATTTATTTGTCTCTGCAAGTCATCTAGGAGTCTTCTATGAAATTAGAGGTTAATAACAAATAAATCCAATTAATGTAGGTATTAGTATATGTAATTAGTATATGTAATTATTAGTATATGTAATTATTAATATTAATGCAAATGGTTATTGATAAACAAACAGTGGACCTTTTTTTCTGGTAATACATAGAAACAACAAGAGAAAAGCTGTGCCACTGATCATAAGTGCTCCTGTTTGTTTGTACCATTTTAAAAATTATGAAGTTATGTTTTTGTCAACTTTAAAATGAAAAGAAAGACCTGGAAAGGTTGAAAAGGAGTTATAGTATAAGGTAATGAAAGCATGGATCAGTGTCTTCAAGTGTTTTTTTTTTAGGTTGGGCTTAATTTCTTACAGCCTCCTTAAATTAACAAAAAAGTGCTTTATATCAGTCTACATATTTTTCATAATTTGGAAATCTCTGCCTAAAAATTATCCCACAGTATTTTTATTTTTTTCCCATCTTATCTAAATTCAGTCTCAGAGGACTTTGAGTCAGTGTTTGGACCCAACACAGAAGTCAAAGAAATCTACATTGAATCACCACAGGAAGGTAATTAAATACATGTTTTAAATGTCATTAAAATGTCTTTGTAGGTGGCTAATACTCAAAGTGTAAAACTGTTTTCTTTTTTCCCCAACCAGAATATTTCTTGGACTGCAACTTCGACCAAGGAGCATGTGAATGGGTCCAAGACAAAACTGATGACATGGACTGGACTGTGGCCTACCATGATAATGGTAACAAAATTATGCTTCAAAATCTTTTTTATGTCATTTTAGATACAGCTACTAATATACTATTCAATCCTCCCAGATGGCAAGTACTACATGGCTTTGAGTGGGCTGATAGGTGGCAGAGAAGATGTAGCTAAGCTGAAATTGCTGCTCAGTGACCGAGCCCAGTATGGCAGCTTCTGCCTCACCTTTGACTATCGGGTGGTGGGTCATGATGTGGGCTCGCTCAGGGTGCTGCTGGACAACAATGCTTACCCTGTGTGGGAACAGAGCCAAAGCAAAAACCAGGGCTGGCAGACTGAACTCCTTACTGTGGCCTGGAGAGAGGAGGCTCCGCAGTCTGTGAGTCATTTTTCTTAATGGGATGAATTTTTCCTTTAGGGGTTGTCTAATAACAGATTTGTTTTGAAAATATTTATTTTACTGCAATTGGTGTAGTTTTCAAAATAGGTTTAATTGACTGTTATTTTAAGACATACATTCCACATGGGACTGTATAATACAATGGTTCCATCTGAATGTCTTTCAGATCATCTTTGAAGCTCAGCGTGGGAAAGGCATTGGAGGTGAAATAGGGTTGGATAATGTTGTGCTGACATCAGGACACTGTCAAGAAGATATAAATCCAATCTTTTAGGAATCAAACATCTGCTCATTGAGCTTAATTATGGATGCATGCAAGTTTGCTTTCACACCACCTGTTACGTTATTCTGATTCAGCTAAATTCTTTATTCTCAGTTAATAATTACTCTAAATAAAACCCAGATGACTCATATCTCAGGAAAAGATGGAAGAGCTAAGTTCTTAAGTTCTGTTTATGGCTTCGCATTTATTTCAAAACGCTTGTGGCAAAATAAACATACTTGCATGTTTGTTAAAGTACTTCTGCACATGGTTTATCTACCACCACACAACAAAATCACATATGCGTGAGAAACGGACGCTCAGAGAGGAGAAAATTGTTCCCTGCGCGTACCAGCTTCTTCCCGCCCCTTCCGCAGACAATCTGCTGCACCTCTCCGAAATTGTAGGTGACCGCAGACAGTGCCGCAGATAGGAGGCCTCTGATTGGTCAAATCTACATCAGATCTACTCATGCATATTTCCCGTTTGGTAGCTTACCAGCTTGTTTTGTTTGTATGATGGCCATTGCGGAAAACAACTTGTGAAGATGGACCAGCGAGAAGAGCGAGGTGCACGAGAATGCTGGGACCCTTTTTCCACCTGGATACCCGCATTTTTTTCGCCCTCATTGTCCCTCCGTTATCGGAAAAACTTGCCCCAACTTCCTCACCTCCTCGGCCGTATCTAGACCTACACCTAGTTTGTGATTGTCCCTCTTGCATTGTGGCGTGGAATTACATAACGCAGACCACGCTTCAAAATTGAGCATAAATCAAAAATGTCTGCATCATACCTGCAACAAGCTCACTGCGACACACTGCTGTGGGAGTATAACCAGCCCTTAAGCCTCCTCCTGATTAGGCCTTGCAGACACGATCACACTGGAAGCAGTTTCAGGAAGACAACGGCTGGAGATGGTACAGTGACGGAGGCTTCTTCAACGTTTGTGGTAGGTGGGGTAAGTGTCGGTTAAAGGCTTCCTGACACTACTTCCCTTATGATTGTTTTTGCAAAGCCCAATCAGGAGGAGGCTATCCTTGAGCGTGGCCACTGGATAGAAAATCATGCGCTCCGTGAGATCCCAAGCATGACCCTGAGAAGGCGTGGGAGGAGCGGGCGTGTGCGGAGAGTGATTTTCTCCTCTCGAAGCGACAGTGTCTCTCGCATGTGTGATTTTGTTGTGCTGTGGTAGATAAGAAATAGTTTAAGATACATGCGAGTATGTTATTTTTACTCACGGGCGTTTTGAAATAAATTGTGACGCAATTCCTCTTAAGCAGTATTGTACTGCCGTTATGTTTGTGACATTAGATTGCTGAAGCAAACTACATAAAATACAAAATGTAATGTGAATCAAAGGTTAAATAAGTTACATTTTTGAAGGCTGTTTTGTGAAAAATAGGTATATATTGCCAAAAGTGTATTAAATTTGTGGTGAATGCTTATATTAAACATGTTTTTTCTAATGCCGGTAAATATTATTCCTTTTAATTAATATTGACCAATATGGATGCTATTATTAGAAACCTTATAGAAATATATTCATGCCTTTTAATGTCAGCATTTCTGTTTAATATTTTGTATTGGTTATCTAAATCATTTTATATGAGTACAAAACAAAATGTAAAGGCTTCCAACTACCTCGAGAAAGTCAGTTTTAAAGCGAAACACAGCAAGACTTGTACTTTGTTATTTTGCTGGATTTTGTGATTTAAACAAAGAAAAAAAACTGAACCAATGGCTCTGCAGTTTTTTCATATATAATTATAAATTGAAAATGATAAGTTTGAAGATAGAAAAATGCAGCACAAAGGGTCCCATGAAGTTGGTATTGCAGATAGGGAAGTCAGGGGATGCCACTTTAAAGGAACAGTCCGATCAGTAAGGAATATCAATGGATCATTTTCTATACCTCCAGCTAATATGTTCTGGGTAATTTAATGAATATAGCTTTAATCAGTAAAAAAAGAAAAATAACAACTTTTGTTGCAATCAATGAGACTGGGACTGGCCATTTTTGCCCAAATATAGTAACACCTCACTCCTGACATCTTCCGGCAGTGACGTCACGGTGCGTTAAGCCAAAGTCCATTCTCCTTGCTTTACAAGCAAAATCAATAAGAACTACTAGACAAATCTGCAATCAACAACAATTATTTAAGATTTTTGAGAGGACTTCACCATTGAAATTTGCAAGAGCTATTGTTTAAGTGACAATGCCCACGCCCATGGCAGTTGGATGTTGTAATACGTCGGATAAAAGTGAAAAAAAATATATATTTATTTCACCTTTCTAATTCATGATCCTACACAGATGGGTTTATCATTGAATTGCCAACTTGAAGAGGGAGAATTTGCCATCAAACTTTGTGGCCAGAGAAAAAACACGTAATATTTAGCCAACATTTTGAAGAAGGATGTTTTCAAGATGACTTTGATAAAAGCGTGTTGTTACAAACACCAGATACGGCATTGGGACTTGCTCAACAGCCGATACCGCGCCTTGACGTCACAAACCAGTAGGTGGTAGTAGTGCTCTTTGACAAACATGGATGTCTGCAGTAAAGCACATTCAAATGAAACTACTCTTAATTAAAAACACTTTTGAACACTATTGAACATTATGTAATAATTTCATATTTAAAGTATATCTGAATATGACCAGACTTCTCCTTTAAATATACCTGCATGACGATTCTATATACCTACATAAATGTACATACTATCCACAGTCAAGGTGCTCTTGTTATGTTTTATCTATCAGCCACAGTATTGTAACTTGTTATAAACTTGTATTTCTGATGTAATTAACCTGATGTGAAATTATATTATTTATCAAATCCCCGATTGGTTTACAGGAACAGTGTTTTGTAAAGGACTCTTACCCATGAATCTGTTCTACATTTTATATAGTTTCTACCAAACCTTTCAGCATTTTTCACTAGAATTGGATGCACTACAGCAACACTAAGTAGTAAATAGTCTTAAACTGAAAGAAAAGTGATACATAGTTTTAAATATGCTTATCTTAAAAAGCTTAAGGTTTATTAGATTGGTTGCAGTGTTTATGAAACATCTTATGGTAGATTTACAAACGGCTTTATATCTAAAGTTTGATCAGTCATTGAAATGGATGTTATGTGTTTTGCTTTAAACAACTCCAATGTGGCCATGTAGTTAGGGTTGTGGTCCCATTGGAAGTGTAAATTTTCAATTTCAACTCTTTGCAGCTTCTAACAGGCTGTCTTCCAGGATCCATCCTTATTTAGCTCCATTTATCTTTCTATCAAATAATCAGTGGCAAAAAGCAACATTTATAGCATAATCCTTTTTCCAACTTTTTGAACGATGGGGATGTTTTGTTCATGGTTTTAGTTTTCTGACACACAATGCTTTCTATGTAGGCCAAAAAATGTATTCTTCTTCTCATCTAACCAGCATGTCTTCCACAAATGTACTCTACATCACTTTCAGCTAACATTACACCAGACTTTATATGGTTTTCTAAAGGAAGAAATCTATGGGAGAATTATCCTGCCATAATGCAAGAGCACATAATTTCAATTTGAGAAAAGAATTTCATCTTCTTGCACTCAAAACTTATAATGCTCACACTCAAAACATGCGCTCTCTCTCAAATATTTGTTTCTTCTCTCAGATTTAATGCTTTTTGCACAGATATTTTCTCCTCTTGCTTGCCTCCTTCTCTTCGCGCACAAACCGCGCTCTGCTCGAGTCTCAAATACGCTCGCAAACCCGTAGGCTCTGCCTGCGGATTTTTTTTGCTCTCTCTCGGATTGCAGTTGGATCGTTGCCTAGCAACCTTCCCAGCCAATAGAACGACAGCCTCGGAAAGGGTGCGCTTGTTTAAAGGAGAAGTTCGGTTTTTTACACTTTAAGCCCATTTTCTGTAGTGTCCAGGATGAAATCGAATGATCGANTGGTAATTTCTAGATGTCTGCTTCCACACCTGTATGAGAAAAGTGGGACATAGAGAACATAACGGCAAACAGAAGAGACAACCAAAATGATAATCCAAAAAAAAAGCTACAAAAGCAGTGAATATCCTTTAGATATTTATGTCTGTGGAAGGCAAAACCTGTGGTGATTACGCAATATTATTTAGGGTAGTACATATCTGATACTGTAGCTTAGTATTTAGTTTTAGTGTGTATCCTTGAACACCTAGAACCAAACTCCCATGGTGTGCATGCATGGGTATGCTCATGTATAATGATTTAAAAAGCTTTTTCAGAAGGAGAGAATGTTTAATAGCAGGTGTGGGTGACCTCAGACTCCCCCTACAGGGCCCAGGATTGATAAAGAGGCAATGCTAACCTCAGACATCCAAAGGCACCCAGATCATTGGGATGCAAGGAGGAAACATATAGAGATGACCATGCCCACCAGAGAAGGGTAGAAGAGAGCAGCTGGAGTCTGAACCTGAAGTCAGGGACCCTTAGGGACCTGGGATCAGGTGCCACCAAAAGAAGGAGAGCAGCAGTGTAGCCTAGGTCTAGTCCCAAGCACAACCCAATTCCCCCTGGACAAAGAAGCCTCAAATGGTCCACAATGTCCTGTGTACTACATGTGCCCTTGGATAATTGCAGACAATTAGAGGCTTAGAAGGAACACTGGTGTGTAGCTGCTACCACATCTACCAAGTGGGTCATGATCTCCATACTGAAATGGTCAAGGCCAACTCCAACACAACAATTATTGTACTGTTTGTTTGCACAATAAAAAAAGAGAAGAGGTGTAAGGTGTTTCCATAGGGAGAAAGAAGAGGAAAGGTAAGAGTTTGGGGCCGATGGTAGAGGCTTTGAATGGTTAACAAAGCGATGAAAAGAGCTGTAGTGAATATTTTCTTTCAGATAAGACCTGGGACATAGGGTGACTTACAAGAGGGTAGCTATGGGAGAATTATCCTGCCATAATGCAAGAGAACATTATTTCAATTTGAGAAAAGAATTTCATCTTCTTGCACTCAAAACTTATAATGCTCACACTCAAAACATGCGCTCTCTCTCAAATATTTTCTCTTCTCTCTCAAATCTTTGTTTCTTCTCTCAGATTTAATGCTTCTTGCACAGATATTTTCTCCTCACGCTTGCCTCCTTCTCTTCACGCACAAACCGCGCTCTGCTCGAGTCTCAGATAGGCTCACAAACCCGTAGGCTCTGCTTGCGGATTTTTTTTGCTCTCTCTCAGTTTGCAGATGGATCGTCGCCTAGCAACCTTTCCAGCCAATAGAACGACAGCCTCAGAAAGGGGGCGCTTGCCTGTTCTACTACGCCATTTATAAGAGCGTCAGCTGAAACTGCTATTTACAGTATTTTTGTGGCTCGATTCAGCAAAGTTCAATTCTTATGGATAACCCAAACAATTTTGAAGTAAGTAATTTTAAACAATCAGTGGTTTGTTATATACAAAAGCAAAGAACCGACATATTAAATTATTATCTTGAAATAATTTGTTAGTATAATGGCAAATCTTTACGTTTTAACCAGTCAGTGAGTTATGGATGTTTTAAAATGTTGGATGAGTGGACAATTGGTCCGAAAGAGGAGTCCAACCGCAGCTCAGGACACAATCAGGAAACACCAAGAGACGACAAAACCCTGTTTAAAGCCCGGTGTACACTGTGCGATTTTTGGGGCGATTTTCCAGTCGTGCAAGTATTTTTTGATCGGGTCGACTTTCAGCCTGATCGTGCGTTGTGAGTCGTGTACAGTACAGGGGTTATTAGGGATGATCAGCCTCTCATCACCATCTCCCGATCCTGAATCATGAGGTCGGGAGAAAATCAAACATGTTTGTTTTTCTCCCGACCGTCGTGGGATAATCGCTCAGGGTGCATTTTCTTTCTAGGACTTTCACCACAAAATTGCACAACTTGCCAAGGCAGCGTGGTTCACTATATTGAGCTTAATATCCCCCTTCTATTTGTTTGGCTTCCGGATAGAGAGCTACAGAGCAGCTGCATCTCACTGCAGGGTGGAGTCCAATGTGGTTTTTAGTCGCATGGTGTTAGCAGGCAGATCGCATCAGAGCTTCAGGCCGAACATAAATCGTGAGCTGTGAGGTCACACTGTACGACTAAACCCTGCGGTTAGTTGTACAGTGTGAGCAGCAGCTGCGTGCAATGATTGAAAAAAGTGTACGCCAGGCTTAACACTGGCCTCCAAGAATGAACACAAGAATATGGAATAAAAGACTAAACTCAAACATCCTTAATGATGATATGTTGCCGGGCTGAACTGTATATAAAGCAGAAGGAGCAGGTGGATAAGATGAAAGATAATTAGTAAGCAGGGAGGATTCGGTAGGTGAGATAGACTGGACAGTAAGAAGACAACGAACGATTGATACAGTTTGGTGAGGCAGCTAGAAAGAGATAGATGGGATTTTAAAGTTAAGGTATTTAAGTATTGAAATGAAAACGTTCAAACCGATTCAAAACATGTCAGGGATACAATAAAGAGTTGATAAACGAGGACAGAACAAGCAGCCCAAGAACAAGCCATTGTGGATCAGGAAGTAGCAAAGATTAGTATGGCTGAACTAAGGAGGTCATTGAAATGGATGA